GATTTATTTCTGCAATGGTATTGATGTTTTTCAAAGTGGTAGTGTTTGTCTAATGGATTGGTACTGATTTCGTATTTTTTTTTTTTTTGCAGAAAGATTGAGAAAAATATAGAAAGGAAATCTGGCTGGAGATTACGGAAGTGAAAGAAAGAGAGAATTTTAATTAATAGATTTTTGTAACTACCTAAAATGTAATTTATTAAAAAATTAATTAATATAATTTATTTTTTCATACCCAATTTACCTTTAGTAACCACGGTGATTACTACTTTTGTAGTAATCACCGTAACCTGTCCTGGGGAATGTTCAAGGAAGATTACTAGTTGAGACTTGAGAGACTTATTATTAACTAAGAATTGTAGTAATTGACAGAAACTTCCCCTTAGTTTCAGTTTGGGCAATTCATTCCATTGTTCATATTTAATTTCTATCTGTATAGGTGGAGTTGGCTAGGATCCAAACGTGTCGCACACTCATTAAGAATATACTTTAATCAACTTCAATCAGCCTTTCATTTTTTTTAATAATACTTATATTCCTTTGGCAAAATACACTTGTATAGCCATAACTTTCACACTTTTGACAAATATAGCAATGTATATCCGAAAACAACAAATAGCCCAAAAACGAAGGGTAGTGTGACAAATCTAGCCAAAAATGTTAGAATCTTTAACACTGTCTGCGACTCCGTTAAATCATTTGACGGAACGCTGATGAGGATGGAATCCGACCTCCACATCATTGACACATCAGCAAACTGTACACGTGGAATGCCACGTAAAGAATTAAAAAAAATTATGTTGACTTCCCTTCCCTTCCTCCTTCTTCCCTTCCCTTCCTCCTTCTTCCCTGTCCCCGAAAATCAAATTCTCATGAATTAGTGTTCGCACTTGCTGGAGACGCCGCCGTTGGAGACCACGCCACCCCCGCTGGAGACCACACCCCTTCCTGGGAAGAAGAGAAGCGTAGTTGGGATCTGATGGGTTGACGGTTCGCCGTTGCCCGGCGGAAGTTCTCGGGACTTACACCTTCTGGGCAGCTCTCTCGCAGTTGGGATATGATGGGTCTGCTTATCCATCATCGAAACAAACCCAAAACAAAACCTAACCAGTACTTACTTTCAAATAGAGGTGGCAAATGGATTGGATTGGTGGATTGGTGGATTGAATTGGTGGATCCATGGATCAAATGGATTGGATCTAATGGATTGGTCGATTCATGGATTGGATCAAGTGGATTGGTGGGAGTCTCATCTTGTGCGATGGCGCTTTCAGAAGCGATATCCAGAAGGCGGGCATTGGCATCATTATCAAAGATGCTCATGGGAAGATCTATGATGGGAGAGCTGAGAGAATTCACTGTAGAGCACCGGCGGCTGCTGAAGCTTTCGCCATCCTTGAAGCTGTCAAAATGGCGGCACAGGAAGAGATGGCAACTCTGATAATTTCAGATTGCAAGTGTGTTGTTGATGCTATTGGAAAGCCTCCTGAGGAATGTCCGATTGAGTTTGCAGCATCCATGGCGGCAATTCGAAGGATTTTAGAGGAGGCGGACTGGTGTAACAACGTTTTCCAATCGAGAAGTGCAGTTAAAGAGGCTGATCTTATTGCAAAAAGAGCCTGCAATGACACTTTACTTCCGGGTTGGATAGCTAGTTTTTTGTAGCCTTCTTGTTCGACTTTTGTTTCTCTCCTGTGTAGTTCTAGTTACTGGGTTTTGTAGAGTCTTATCTTTGTTTGAACTCTGTCCCAGTCTTTTGGGTGCTGTGAATGATACGAGTATCATGTTTGTCCAAAAAAAGGATTGGTGGATTATCTATGAATCCAAATGACATTCTCAACCAAGGACCAATATGTAAAATGTAAAAAGTTTAGGTACTAAAATGTCACTATGAAAAATTTTAGGTACCAAAACGTAATTTTCCAATGATATTTTTCGTATAAAAATAAAATTTTAGGTACCAAAATGTAAAAAATAAAAATTATAGGTACTAAACCATAATTTGCCAATGATCCATGGATCCAATCCATGAATCCACCAATCCAATTGGATTTGGATCAAATGGATTGGATTTAAATGGATTGGATTAGGTGGATATTTTTAATGGATTGATGGATTGGATTGGTGGATTGGATTGAAATTGCCACATCTACTTTCAAAGACCAATTGGAGAGCTTCCCGCATCAAAATCCCTACCACTACCGGAGAGAGAGCAGAGTAACAACAACCCTAATTCACATTCCACCCGCCGAACAAACCAGAAGAAACCCCCGACGACGAGTCTCACAGCAGTTGAAAGCGATTCAGGAGAACAGAGCGAGAGAAGAAACCTTGAACCCAAAAAAGGAAGCAGAGATCTGGATGGTTTAGCGGAAGAGGAATGATGGATTGATTCTAGTAGCTAGCACCACCATTCGTCTCCTACGACGGAAGCTCGACACAAACCCCATCCTCGTCGCCCGAAAGCCATCCCTGGACTCGGATCCAGATTCTCCCGCCGACTCCAACGACGTGGCTATGCTTCTCGGCTCCTCTATCGATGAAATTCCTCCCAATTTCATGTTCCCTTCCAAGGAGGTCCTCCGCAGTGGCGCAGTCCTCGACGCAGCCGGCACAGCCGTGCCCACCACCGACTACGGGAGGAAGATGAAGTGTTTTCTATTTTATTTCTATTTTATTTTTTATTTTATTAAATAAAAATTGCACTTATGATTTATATATATTTTGTTAATCCACGTGTCCGACGAAAAGTCGCCATGTCAGCATTTTCGTCAGTACAATCAGACTGTTAACTAACACCATCAAAGAGATGGACGGAATTGGCTATATTGTGTTTTTCTATAGTTATGGCTATATTTGTCACAAACGTGAAAGTTATGGCTATGGAAGTGTATTTTGCCTATTCCTTTTCGTGTATATTTTGTCTTTTAGGGCTTGGATGTGGTGAGTGGTGACGTGACATGATGGTGGTGGATAGTGATGGAATGAATCTCTCAATACTCATATTCACTATGCATCAAGTACGGGTTTGATAATATTGGTACGAGTTCTGATCAAGTCAGGTAGTCTCATTCTCATATAATATTTGAAGAAAATGTATATTTTTGACTATAAGATGACGAGAAAAATACTACATAAATGAAAATAGAGATAACATGTAAATCAATTGATCCAATAAATTGAAGATTGAAGTATTGCACTTATCTAAAATATCATTGGGGTGAAATTATGAGTTAAAATAAGTCAAGATAAGAAAAAATACAAATAAATATTAAGGAAAATCAAACTGATTAAAGACGAGAGAGAATAAGACAAGACAAAGAAAGCAATACTCATATTCCACCTCATGCTGCTACGAATCGATGTATTACCTACCACAACACAGATCAGACAAATAATACCCAATGAAACTTGTTCAAATTGCCATCACCACAACAAGACAACGAAAGCAATAATCATATTACACCTCATGTTACTACAAATCGATGTATTATCTACTCCAACACAGATCAGACAGAGTAATACCTGACGAAACTCGTTCAAATTGCCATCACCGCTATGTCAACATTATCCTGTAGGAGACTAGGAGTAGGGGATCCATTCCCTCGCCTCCCCTGGTACTGGCAGACGAAGTGGAATCCACTATTGGTCTAGCAACTGGGCCCTCTTTTCTTTCTTTCTTTCTTTCTTTCTTTCTTTCTTTCGTATGTATGGATTTAGACCTCTTTTCGTCCCAAAAGTTTGGTAGGATAGGAAGCCGGAGGAGGAGGTCAAGCATTGTTCGGTAAGTGCCAAGTACGGCAGCGCCAGGGATGGGATTGGGTGTGTGGACCAAGTTGCAGTAACGTAACTGAGATGTGGTTAAATTCCCAAAATATTGTTTTTTTATTTACCACCAATATGGTGCTTTTAAATCAATTGACACAGATATTGTGTTTTTGTAGGGGAAGAGCTGCGGGGTCGCGCAAGACTCAAATTTAGACGTCACAAACGCGGACCCGCGTCAGACTCATGCGGATGCGCACAAAAACCCCAACACGAGCCGGTCCTGTGCGTTTTCTCACATCTCTCTTTCTTATCTCTTTATATCTTCTTCCCGCTACGCTCTCCGCCTGCAGCGATGCAAACCACACAAAACCTCCAACCCCCCCACCACCCCAGCGCCGACCACCACCACTCTCACGCGGGTCCGCGCCGCCTTCCCGCTGAACCTCGTTCGCCGACGCGGAAAGGGGCGAGTCACACGCGGAAGTGCCGGAGGAAGAGGCGGAGGAAGAAAGCAGATATGTGTTTTTTGATTTTTTATGTCTAACTCCGACGAAGAACAGGCGGCCGCCGGAGGAAGAGTCCGTGGAAGTGGACGGTATCGAGGTGAGTGAGTCACTAGTCGGAAGCTCGCCGCCGCCGGCCGGAATATCGCCGGCGGCGGTTTTATTCTGCTTCTAATTTTTTTTTTGCAAATCCTAGGCTTCTTGACACTTATTCCACGAGACGACCATCTTCAATGATTGATACAGCTCCAGTCGATTCAGTACTTCTATTTGGGCACATGGTCAACATCGTGGTGACTCAGTTTGGCAAAACGAGGTAAGTATTTTATTTCATTAAAGTTCATTAGCTAGTTAGATTAGAATTTTGTGAAATTAATATTAGTTTGATTAGATATATTTTACTAGGTGAACTGAAATATTAGAATTGCATGTGAAATTTTGTGAAATTAGTATTAGTTTTGATTAAATATATTTTACTAAATTAGATAGATTTTACAATATGATATGAAAATAGAATTACGCCATGAAATTGAATTAATATAAGTTTTGTGCACTATAGGCTGGTGATCGCGTTTACCAGACTCGAGGTACCATCCACGTTATGAGTCGTATCTCCAGGATGCCGGTTTGTTTAGCGTTCAACAGTTGGTCTCTATGAATTATTGTATTCATGCATCTTTGATCACTACTCTCGTAGAGCGCTGGCGTCCTGAGACATCGACCTTCCACATGCTGCTTGGTGAGCTTACGATCACTCTTCAGGACGTTGCCACACTGAATGGTATATCGATCGATGGTGAGGCCGTCATAGTAGACGTACCGGATCGGGAGTGGTCGGAGACGTGTATCAGACTGTTAGGACATGCTCATAACGATCTTAACGGGGGTGTCGTTAAGATTACTTGGCTAAGGGAGCATTTCAACAATCTGCCGCCAAATGCATCACCAGAGATTACAGAGTAGTTTACATGAGCGTATTCCCTATCTTTGATGGGGTGTATGCTGTTCCCCGATCGTACTGAAGCTATAGTTCATTTGTAGTATCTACTCCTGTTGGATAATTGGCGGAGCGCTGGAGGCTACGCTTGGGGAGCAGCTATTCTAGCCTACTTGTACGGTGAGATGGGTAGGTCGGTTCTGCATAAGACACAGTCATCTTCCACAAGGAGGTGACCTTGGTGGCTGGGTCTCCTTACTGCAGCTCTGGGCGTGGGAGCGATTCCCATTAATAGCACCATGACATTCAGTGATGGATGATCATATTACAGAGGACGCATATCCACGTGGTGCTCGATGGCTTCCGGCCATGACCCGTCAGCATGGTGACCAGCTCTTCAGTTATAAGTTGTTTTTTGGCGAGTTGTGGACAATCATGCTTAGTAATAACATTTCATACAAGAATAGTTCATAGTTCACATTAGTTTGTTTTAGACTAATGAGTAATAATGTGCCCACCTGTTGTGTGTAGTGGCTGCCTTATTGGGGGAGAGGCGAGCAGTTTAGGGGTTCTATGCCACAGTCAGATACCTTTCGAGCAGTGGTTCCACTGATCTGCTTTTCAGTAGTGATGTGGCACCATCCAGATCGCGTACTCCGACAGTTTGGCATGATGCAGAACGAGCCTCATCATCCAGCTCATGAGGCTGAGATTAGGTATTTCCTTCGCCAGACAGTTTGTGGGTCATCGCGAGGGCAACGGTTGATGCACGCCTCTAGAAAGTCGATTGATTTGTGGATTCGTCGACATGAGTATATAGCGACTATGCCATATACTCAGGATACTCTAGCCTACCACTCGGAGCATCTCGAGTGGTATTGAGATGTTACTAGACGTGCAATCACACGGAGAGCAGGAGGAGTTAACACAGCGGTTAGTTATTTATTGTTTCAAAATAAAAAATGTTAGTTGATTGAAATTCATAGTTGTGTGGAATATTTGATATATTAAATAAAATTTTCAGTACGACACCTTTGAGTACGCTAAGCTGAGATTACGGGATGGAGAGTTGTCCACAGACGATAGGATGGAGTTGGCCGACATGATGGTGGCTAGGGTTGCTGCTCTATGTTTGGATTCTCGCTGACATCCTGATATAACGGTACCTGTGCAACCTCAGCCATCTGAGAGCAGCCTTGCAGTTGGCCAGAGAGTACGGCTCATAGACATGAGTGGGACGTGCGAGGACCATAGCTCACACATGAGCTCAAGAGGCGTAGACAGCGACGTGAGCAGTGCGACGTACCTCACCCAGTGCAAATTTCAGATCGTCAGCGAGCACGGCCTGTCCGACCTATTACTACCTTCGACTTCATGCCGCAGTTTCAGCTGTCCTCTTCTGCGGGCTTTCATCCTTCTCAGACCCAGTTTCAGCCCTCTCAGGCCCAGTTTCAGCCACCAGCTGATAGCTTTCATACGCCACCGCAACATGTTATGATGGGTGGCGGCTACAGAACCTCACCCAGAGCAGCCTCGCCCTATAGATGGAGAGACACAATAGAGGGGGACGCTACTTTTATGGACGTGATGTGGCACCATAAGCAGTAGCTTCGGGGGCAGGGGTTTACCACAGATGCACCAGAAGAACATCCCCAGTCTCAGATAGATGGTTTGTTCGGACACAGGATCAGGATGGCGGAGATCAGACTCAGCACGATGAGGGCATGCCAGTATGGGATAGACATGCACTGTTGTGTTTTCATCGAAATGCACTGTGAGTGTGTTCGAACCCGTCATGTTGAAATTATTGGGAGGAGTCTGAACCACATAGATGCCCTGATGTCGATCAACCCCCGTCACGGAATGTCCAACTGCCTTTTGTGCCCACGGCTTCATCAGATCTTCGCATGGTTTCGTGTACTGTGACTTCCCACTTCTGATTTGTGATTTTGTCTCCAACATCATCTTATCGAATCTCTCCAATAATCGCCAATAAGTATGTTGCACAAGAGAAGCTATAGGAAGTGAACGAATACCTTTGAAAACACCATTGATGCTCTCTGCCATGTTGGTCGTCATCATAGACCATCGAGGCCCGCCATTATAATTATCATGTGCTAAGCTCCAATGAAGTTAATTTTGATCCACCTAGTTATCACAAGAAATATTTCTTTCAATGACCATCTTCTTAAATTGCTCAACTTGACGATCGAACTTCTCCAAGCAGCGTTTTTCTCTGGCTAAACAAATAAATAACCACAAGAGTTAGATAAATTCATGATAATATTAAATTAAAATAAATAATACTTAAAAAATCAATAAAAATAACGATGAAGAGACTTACCGACTCGAAACAGTTGGTTATACATAATTTTGCTTTTTTCTTCCTTTTCAAGTTGCTTTCATAGTGTCGCATGCACCACCTCCACTCCCAACCTCTTCCGATGTCACCCATGGCTTCATAGAGTCCCGCATGTCTATCTGAGATGATGCATACATAATTTCGATCGGTCAAACCTTGAAAGTGATTTATAAACCATGGCCAACTTTCAGTATTCTTGCTCTCCACGATGGCAAATGCTATTGGAAAAATCTTCTTCCGACCATCAAATGAGCTCGCCATGAGTAGCACTCCTTTATACTTTCCATTAAGAAATGTTCCATCAACAACCATGACTCGTGGAAAACTCTTGAATCTATCTATACAAGGTTCATAAACCCAGAATACTCGCTGAAAGATCGAATGACCTGGTTGAGCTGAAGGAACTCTTACCCAATCAATCACTGATGTTGGCATTTTTCTCTTTACCACCCGCAAGAATGTTTGCAAATAATCGTAGGATTCTTCCCAATTTCCATGCAACTTCTCCAATGCTCTTTGTTTCCCATACCAAGCCTTCTTATAAGTAACTTGCATATTAAATTTATCTTTCAACTCGGCTTGCACAGTTAGAACACTCAGATTTGGTTGGGCACGTACCAAATGTTTCACGGACTCAGATATAACGTCGACATCAAGATGGCAATGATCTGTCGGTTGAGTCGTACTGCTACAAGAATGCACCAACTCGGCCTTTCTCACAGTCCATTCGCTTCCAACGTCTCGACATCTAAACCGCACCATCCAAGGACAATTGTCATCCTTATGCTCCAAGCATCTAACCTTCCAGATTGAAGGTGACAACTCCACCACGTCATACTAAACGTTGCATTGTAGTGCGTGGTGTTTAACCGCCACCTGTGCAGCTTGTTTCGAGTGAAATATCTGGCCCTTGTAGAATTCCCCTTCGAAACCAGTAACAATAGGCATTGGAATTACCCCATATGAATCAACATATGATAATTCATCGTCCTCTTCATTAACCTGCAAGTAAAAATATGGAGGAAAGTTAGCCTGCTCTTCTTCCCCATCCTCCTCCTCCTCATCATCATAATCATGATCAGATGGCACACTCCATGTATCATCTTCACCCTGATCGGATTGGCTAATCTCAGCATGTATCTTAGCACCCAAACAATAAGGATTTTATGCCATAAAATCGAAAAGCACATTCAAACCATCATCATCCACAATAAGCATCACATAATGAAATAAAACACCATTCTACCATTCTGGAAGACGGTAAGTGGAACCTGTGATCATATCACTATCTTGTACTGCTTCGTCTCTACGCCGTATTCTCGGGATTAGATTCTCATAAAATTGATGATATGTCACCCGACATGGAACTGTCAACTGAAACCTTCTACCACCAGCGAAATGAACACCGAAATTGTCCTCTACTTTCTCCGATTTCCACCAAACAATTAGTTCGAATTTCCTAAAATCACTACATAACAAACAAATTCACTAATTACTAACCAAAGAAAATTATAATAGCATTTTAATAATATAATTACAAAAATAAATGTGTCTCTTACCTAGCCATCTTTGTAGCAACCAATAGTGCTCTTCCCTCTCGTTTTCGTATCAGTTTTTGGTGTGGTGATACTGAAAGGAGGAGAATAGAGGAAGATATATATGCTGGAGTGGGCTAAAACACAGCACGAATCCGCATGAGACTAATACGGATCCGCTGGTCAAAGTTTAGGGAATTCGCTCTTCTTCCCCCACAAAAACACAATATCTGTGTCAATTAATTGAAAACCACCATATTGGTGGTAAATAAAAAAAAAATAATATTTTGGGAATTTACCCACTGAGATCAGGGTAAGAAAATGAAAACAGTCCTATTGGGACAATTCGTGTGCAAACCAACAAATTGTGGTTGCCAACAATCATATTGGCAAACCAAAAATAAAAGGTAATGTATATATTTTAACTAAATGTTTCTTTTATATCATCCAAACTTATTAAAATATTATTAACGAGCTAAATATTTCGTAATGCATCAAAATATTAGTCATTTCTACGTTATCATTAATAAATTTATAACTATTTTCTTAGTAAAATATTAAAATGTTGGAATGTTGACTTTCATGTGTCTCTTCCAAGTCAGTATCATGTTGCCAAATCAATATTACTAACAAAATTACTAACTGAAAATTAACATTTGGCTAATTCTTATTATTTCGATAGGTTTGACTAATAAAAAAGAATCCAAAAAAAATTGACTAATAAAAAGTCACTACCCAAAAATAAACTTAGGGGTCGTTTGGATAAATTATTTGTTGAGATGTGGTATTTGTTGATATACAACGCGTTTTTTTTTGTTCATGTGGTATTTTAGTGGTAATTCGATTAAAGTATCTCCTTTGATAGAACCATGAAAATGTAGTATTTGACATCTGGTATTTGGGAAAAGTAGAATGGTAAAACGAGTTATTTTGAAATAACACGGGGGTATGAGTTATTTCAAATAACTCACTGTCAAATAACTCATTTCAGTAAAATGATGTCAAACGAGTTATTTGAAACCAAATAACTCACAAATAACTCATTGAAATACTCGATACTAATGACCCCCTTTTATTAATTATATTATTTTTTGTAAAGTAGAGGGCATGGAGAGAGGAACACGTCGAC